TTCTCTCGATTTGTGAATTTCCATCAATGTTGTCGGGGCCAATTTCCCCCCCTGCTCTTCCCCTGTGTGGCCCTTGGGGCGCTAAGCGTATCCCAAGTGCGAGAATGTATCGTACAGTTTGTTAGTGAACATTGAGGTGTACGATGAGATCGGGGAGGAGGGGGGCGAAAGTCCCTGCTCCCGAGCTGTGACGGACAACTAGTCTTCGTTCTATCATGCAGTGTCTGTTTGCGACGCTGTCGCCCAACTCTCAGATCCCGAAGTTCCTCCTGTGGTTTCGATTCTTTGTTTTTTGACGCATTTCTGCACTCGTCAACGTAATGAAACCACCATCTGCAATGAGAGCAGTATGTGTTGGAGGCATTGATGACGTCTACTACCACAGATTCCTCTTTCGACAATTCAATCGTTAACGATCTATGAAAGGAAAATCTCGCAGTGGACTCAAGGTCAAAGCGAACATTTGCGATAGACGGTTCGTCTTTGTTGGGTCGATAATCGTGCATTTTAAGAACATTGTGCATTGTTTTCTCAATGTGGAAACGAAGGTGAAAGATCACGGTCACTTGCACATTGAGGCAGCGGATCCAAAAAAAGTCAAACTTCATTGCTTCCTTAAGTTTCTCTAGTTCGCTTGGGGGTAAGTAGGGGCAAAATTCCACCCGATAAATCGAGTTCTTAAATTCAATTTTGTCGTCCCCCACGCTTTTCATCCAGTCTGCGTGTTGCTTTGACCCTGTAATGTATGTGGCGAGGTTCTTTCCTTTGTGAATGAAGCAACCTTTCTTGTAATCGTTTGGGATCAACCCTGCTCTTAACCATGTTGCCTCGTAAATACATACCATCTGTTTTTTAACTGGCACCGACAGGGTGCCTTCTTCGTTTTAAAAAACCAGTAAGACTGCTCGCTCATTCAACCACTCGCCCTGAATCGCTCTAATTCGTGGATCGATTTTCAATTTTGAGTGGTATGGGTTACAGTCAATTTCTCCGTGATTTAAACCTTCGGGCAATTTCCCATCCAAAAAGCAAGCCTCAAGCATTTCCCGTACTTGCGCCCTGAAAGTTGGGTCGATGGATAACGGGGGGTCGACCCCGTGCTCCATTCTCACGCAGGCCTATTAAATACTCGTACGTGTTAGTCAAAGAGCCTTGCCCGACTGGAGCCAACCAGGAGGCCGCCGTCGTCAAGTGATATCGATTCTTCCAGAACACGTCATCACATAACGTAGTCACCAATAGATAGCAAAGGCATAAAGAGAGACGGAGGAACAGGCTTCTCGCTCACCCGCTACTCGCGGATGAATGTCATCCCAGAATGGTGCGAGAAGGAATTTCATATGATAGGCTAACTGTACAGCCCTACGGCGATCCCTTGTACAAACAACGTGAAGGCCCGTGCTAATCAGGGTTATCGAGCCGCCGCCGTCCTGTCCCCCCGCCTTTCTGATTTTTCTTTTCTGCCAATGTTTCTTTTGTGTGGCCCTATTGTAATCTTTAGGGCGATTTTGCCCACCATCAGATCTTATTTTCCTCTCATCAATATAAATATATATGTATATATATATATATATATATAATCCTCGAACATGTATATGTATAAATAATCAAATGTATAATAATCAAAGATCTATTGGCTTACGGCTTGGTTTCCTTGAGGGCCTAGTTGCGCTACTCGCCATCCGTCACATTTTGTGCCAGATGCGTAGAGAGTGAAAAAAACTGATAATCGCTATTGGCTTACGGCTTGGTTTCCTTAAGGGCCTAGTTGCACTTGTCGCCATCCGTCGCATTTTGTGACGGATGCGTGGAGAGTGAAAAAACCTATGATAAATTGGGTATTTGGTCGGATAATCTGGTCGGATTATCTGGCCGGATGATGGGGGGGTAGGATCATCCGAAAATCCGGATGATTAAAAAAAAGGCCCAAAAAAA